GGGGGCTGTGGCTGTGTTGGGTGCCACAGGCCTTGGTTGCCCCCCCCCCGCTTCTCCCCACTGGAGAAACTGAGGCACAAAGGGGAAGGGCAGTTCTGCAAGCCCTTGGCCTGCCAGTGTGTGGGGGGAAGGGACTGGAGGGTGGAGTCTTAGCCCCCCCCCCACACCAGGACCCTGGGACCCCTAGCTAGCAGGCTGGCCCCAAGGGGTGCAGACCCCAGAGTGGAGCTTTCGACCCCACCATTGCCCAAAAGAGGGTCCAGGTGTTGGGTTCCCTCCCTTGGCTCTAGATGAGAGGGGGCTGGGGGGTAAGAGCGAGGGGCTTCCGGGGCAGTTGGGTGCTGCCCCCCAGGGTCCTCCCACCCCCTCCCAGGGGCGCTCTCACCCCTCCCCACGTGCCCTGTGCTCCCTCTCCCTGGTGCTCTCATTTCCTCTTGAGCTCAAGGTGAATCGGAGCACTCGGGACGGATGGACAGAGCCCCAGGGCGGACATGGGGTGAGCACGTGTGGGGGTGGGGGCAGGTAGATGGATAGGTAGGGGTGGAGGGAGGGATGGATAGACGATGGACGAATAGATGGAGAGATGAATGGATGAATGCTGGATGGACAGGTGGGTGGATAGATGGATTGATGGATGGATGATGGATCAATAGATCAATAGGTGGATGGATGGATAGATATGGGAGATGGATAGGCAATGGACAGATAGCAAGAGTCAATACATAGGGATAGATGGATAGGCGATGGATAGAGAGCAAGATGGATGCTGGATGGATAGCTGGGTAAATAGATATATGGGTAGATAGATGGATTGATGGATGCTATATGGAGAGAGAGAGAATGGATGGGTGGAGTGAGATAGATGGATAGATAGCAAGATGGGTGGATGCATGTATAGGTAGAGAGATGCTGGGGATAGATACATGAATGGATAGATGGGTGGATGGATAAGTGATAGGTGAATAGACAGACGGATGGACAGATAGCAAGATGGATAGATGGATGCTGGATGGGTGGATAATGATAGGTGGATAGATGGATTGATCAATGGATGATGGATAGATGGAGGGATAAGGATAAGTCAATAGACGGAGAGGTTGCTAGATGGGTGGATGGATAGATAGGTGGATAGACAGCAAGATGCATAGATGGAAGGGTGCTGGATGGACAGATAAGTAGATGTTAGGTGGATACATTGGATGGATGATGGGTGGATAGATGGATAGATAACAATAGGTCAATAGACAAATGGATTGATAGGTGGATAGATTGATAGATCGGTGGATGGGTGGGTGGGTGAGTGGCTGGATAAATAAGTGAATAAAGAGATGTTAGGTGGATGGAGTATAGACAGATGGCTAGATAGTGATAGGTCAATAGACAGATGGGTAGATAGGTGGATGGACGGACGGACGGACGGGTGGAGTACAGGGATAGGTGAGCGGGTGGATGGAGAGGTGGACGGATGGATAAATGGATGCTAGGTACCTGGACAGAGATGGAGGGAGGATGGAGTGATGGATGGATGACGACAGGTCGGTAGACAGGCGGATGCTGGGTAGGTCGTGGACAGAAGATGGAGCGAGCGGGGAAGGACGGGAGGTGACGGGTGGCTGAGCCGGGACATGGCCGGAGGATGGGTAGGTGTCCGGGCGGGGC